AGTTCAAGGTGACCGCCGGGGGCGAAGGCGGCCGTGGCCACGACTGCGAGAAGACCACCACGAAGAAGCATGACTGCGAGAAGACGACCACCAAGAAGCACGAGTGCACCACCACCAAGAAGCACGACTGCGAGACGACCACCACCAAGAAGCACGGCTGCGAGACGACCACCACCAAGAAGCCCGAGTGCACCACTACCAAGAAGCCCGAGTGCACGACCAAGATGCCCTGGGACGATGACAAGAAGGAGTGCTACTGGAAGTGCTACAAGGTCTGCCCCAAGAAGCCCGACCACACCTCGACGACCACCAAGAAGCACAGCACTACCACCAAGAAGCACACCACGACCACCAAGCATTGCCCCAGGCAGTAGTGCCTCCACGCCGACGGAGCACTAGGAGGGACACTAAGGCTGACCCCGCCTCGCCTCATCTCATACTCTGGAGCCCTTAGCATGCACCTCACACAATTATACATAATAAAGGATATTAATTATCCATTTCGTTAAATCCATCTTTGTGGCGTTTTCAGTGCCCGGACTGTGTACAGAGTAATGAAGGAGTCGAAGAAAATCAGGGCCAAAGTGGCGAGCATTCGTCGTTGACGTTGCCGCCGCTCCAGCAGTACACGTGGCCCTCCCTGTAATGCTCTGTCATGGACCGCTGGCCGGCGGTTGCGGCAGCAAGAGTCGCCAGGCGCTGTAACCGACTAGGCCCACCGACACCCAGCAGGCCGTGATGATCTCTGGGACGATCATCACCTGCACAGGCCCCAGACCATCACCTGCGGCACTGTGGCGTCAGGGTACCGCGCCTGGCCCGCGAGAAACAGAGCCACCACGTCGGTCATCACTATTAGCGCCACCGGCAGCGCCGGCGAAGTGACGCCCACCCAGCCCAGCTGCACCGCCACCGATGCGTTGATGCAGCTGGCCAGCAACCAGGCCAAGTTCCTGGCCGTGCGCAGGTAGTAGAAGGCCCAGTGGAACAGGCCGAGCCGAAAGAGCGCTAGCGGGCGGTGGGGTCGTGAAGGAGGGCGGTGAAGGGCGCCACGATGTGGGTCGCATAGCGCGGGCTGGTGATCCGCTCGTAGGCCACCAGGAAGAACACTAGCGCGATGATGTGCTGGCGTTCGCGAAGACCGGCCAATCCTGCATGAATGAACACACGGCATGCGTTGTTGGCGAAAGCTCAGAGTAGTCAGTTACGACGTAAGGCATACCTTTTGGCGAGAGTGACCCACACGAGGAGGGTCAACCAGCCAAGAGGGGAGTAGACGCCCAGCGCTTCGATGCCATTGAGGCAATGAATCTTTAGAAATTGTTTATTTTACCTTTTTTTTAAGAGCTGGCCGAAGTGGCGGCCGTGTGCTTGATGCGCGCCAGACGCTCCTTGAGGGCCTGCACCGCGTCCGTCGCCGTACTGCTGGTCGTCGAGGCAGCCGACGGGCCACGGGCCACGGGGGCTGCGCCCAGATCCGATGACAACGACGTCGAGGCGTCGCCCGCTGCGGCGGGAGTCGTCGACGTCGCCACGCCGGCCGAACGCAGAACGGTGCTGAGCCGCGCCCGCAGGTCCTGAATCGACGCGCCACCGGCAGAGGAGAGGTTGGGCTTGGTGGCGGCGGTGGTGGAGGTCAGGGAGGCGAGCGATGAGGTGGAGTCGGCCGCTGACGAGGTGGACAGCAGAGCGCTGCTGGTGGACAGGCCCGGCTTGGCAGCCGTCTGTCCGTATCGCTTCTGCAGCGCTCGCAGCTTATCCATGTACACACTCTCCAAACCTGCGCAAGTGAGCGAAGAAGAAGGTGAGTTCGGGAAGCGCTCTACACAAATGCGATGTATGACCAAGACAAGAGATTGATCACGTTACCTGATGAAGCGGTGGTATTGGAGG